TATGGTGGTAGTATTTGGGGTATTTGGTGGTATTGGGTAGTATTTGGTGGTATTTGGTGGTATTGGTGGTATTGGGTAGTATTTGGTGGTATTGGTATTGGGTAGTATTTGGGTATTTGGTGGTATTGGGTAGTATTTGGTGGTATTTGGTGGTATTAGGTAGTATTTGGTGGTATTTGGTGGTATTGGGTAGTATTTGGGGTATTTGGTGGTATTGGTAGTATTGGGTATTGGGTATTTGGTGGTATTGGTATTGTGGTATTGGGTAGTATTGGGTGGTATATGGTGGTATATGGTAATATTGGGTGGTATTGAGTAGTATTTGGTGGTATTGGGTGGTATTGGGTATTGGGTGGAATTGGGTAGTATTGGGTGGTATTTGGTGGTATATGGTGGTATTGGGTAGTGGTATTTGGTGGTATATGGTGGGTGGTATTGGGTATTGGGTAGTATTTGGTATTGGGTAGTATTGGGTGGTGGTGGTTGGTGGTATATGGTGGTATTGGTAGTAGTATTTGGTGGTATTGGGTAGTATTGGTGGTATTGGTGGTATTGGGTAGTGGTATTGGGTAGTATTTGGTGGTATATGGTGGTATATGGTGGTATTGGGTAGTATTTGGTGGTATTTGGTGGTAGTTGGTGGTATTTGGTGGTATTGGGTAGTATTTGGTGGTATTAGGTAGTATTTGGGTATTTGGTGGTATTGGGTAGTATTTGGGTATTTGGTGGTATTGGGTAGTATTTGGGTATTTGGTTGTATTGGGTAGTATTGGGTATTTGGTGGTATTTGGTGGTATTAGGTAGTATTTGGGTATTTGGTGGTATTGGGTAGTATTGGGTATTGGGTAGTATTGGGTAGTATTTGGGTATTTGGTGGTATTGGGTAGGAGGTGGTTATGGTGGTATATGGGTAATATTGGGTAGTATTTGGGTATTTGGTGGTATTGGGTAGTATTTGGGTATTTGGTGGTATTGGGTAGTATTTGGGTATTTGGTGGTATTGGGTAGTATTGGGTGGTATATGGTGGTATATGGTAATATTGGGTGGTATTGAGTAGTATTTGGTGGTATTGGGTAGTATTTGGGTATTTGGTGGTATTGGGTGGTATCGGGTAGTATTGGGTATTGGGTGGTATTGGGTGGTATTGGGTATTGGGTGGTATTGGGTAGTATTGGGTGGTATTTGGTGGTATATGGTGGTATTGGATAGTATTTGGGTATTTGGTGGTATTGGGTAGTATTTGGTGGTATTTGGTGGTATTGGGTAGTATTTAGTGGTATTGGGTAGTATTTGGTGGTATATTGTGGTATATGGTGGTATTGGGTAGTATTTGGGTATTTGGTGGTATTGGGTGGTATCGGGTAGTATTGGGTATTGGGTGGTATTGGGTGGTATTGGGTAGTATTGGGTGGTATTTGGTGGTATATGGTGGTATTGGATAAGTATTTGGGTATTTGGTGGTATTGGGTAGTATTTGGGTATTTGGTGGTATTGGGTAGTATTTGGGTATTTGGTGGTATTGGGTAGTATTGGGTGGTATATGGTGGTATAGTAGTATTGGGTGGTAATGGTATTGAGTGGTATTGAGTAGTTTTTTGGTGGTATTGGGTGGTATTGGTATTGGGGTATTGGGTGGTATTTGGTGGTATTGGGTAGTATTTGGGTATTTGGTAGTATTGGGTGGTATCGGGTAGTATTGGGTTTTGGGTGGTATTTGGTGGTATTGGTAGTATTGGTGGTATTTGGTGGTAGGTAGTATTTGGTGGTATTGGTGGTATTGGGTATTTGGTGGTATTGGGTAGTATTTGGGTATTTGGTGGTATTGGGTAGTATTTGGGTATTTGGTTGTATTGGGTAGTATTGGGTGGTATATGGTGGTATATGGTAATATTGAGTGGTATTGAGTAGTATTTGGTGGTATTGGGTGGTATCGGGTAGTATTGGGTATTGGGTGGTATCGGGTAGTATTGGGTGGTATTTGGTGGTATTGGATAAGTATTTTTGTATTTGGTGGTATTGGGTAGTATTTGGGTATTTGGTGGTATTGGGTAGTATTTGGTGGTATTGGGTAGTATTTAGTGGTATTGGGTAGTATTTGGTGGTATTGTGTATTGGGCAGTACGTATCACAATGAGTAATTGAGTAATTATATAATTATTGAAAACAAAATGGAGAAAAAATCACAACAAAACGACAAATACCTGTAGGCGTCATTAGAATGAGATAAAATGGTTATCATGTTTATTTCTTTATTATTTTTTTATTATATTTTTATTGAGTCTTTCCACGCACATATTCACGTGACAACATTTATTAAACTATAACAGGACATTTGGTACCAAGCCATTTTATACACAGAATATTCAGTCATTTTAACCACGCTCAGAAGTGGTTTTGTATTTGAAATTTTCACTTGAATATACATATGTATGTATATAGTGATTGTTGGTAAAAAATAAAAACACGCAATTACTTGGTGCATACTTGATTAAGAAACAAGTGTTTTAAAATAAATAAATAAAAGATATTGCTGTCTTTTCTTTAAATGTATCTGATTAATTAGTCTATTTTCAGGTCTGTTGTATATCTGTTGCTGTTACGTAAACATCAAATCTTAGATATTTAAATTTAGAGATATCTCTGTAACAAATGAAGGTTATTTAAAAATAATCCAATAAAAACGTTTTTATTTAAAAAATTCTGTTATCGATCAGATATTAACGAGATAAATAAAGGTGTCTCTTACAATTTATTATATACTCGTCATTGTTAATTATGTTCATTTATTTTCAGCTAACCATGATTTCTGACAGGTAAAATCGATCCTAGCGAAATAAAGCAAGTGTTTAGAAGACGACAGATGTGGAAATCCTTGCAGGAATCCTAGCCATGAACGGAAACTACCAAAATAAACCTCTGTTACATCTGATGATTCTTGAGACAGACTTAGCAAACACACATTTGTCATGTGACGGTTGGTTAACTCGTGCATATTCCATCGAAACATAGCGATTTTTTCAAATGACTTACGGAACTAATTCCTGTTGCACCCACCCCCTTTTTTAAGGATGAGATATCAATGTGTTTACAGAAAGTTCTTTTTGAGGGCACATACAATAAAAGAAACTAATCATACAAATACAAACGGAATCCCAGCCCTACACACATATATAATATATATGGTAAACTATTTGTTAATTATTGTTTAGGACAGGTTTGACATTTTGGGGGTTGCAGGTGGGGGTTAACCATTGTTTAGGACAGATTTGACATTTTGGGGGTCGCAGGTGGGGGTTAACCATTGTTTAGGACAGGTTTGACATTTTGGGGGTCGCAGGTGGGGGTTAACCATTGTTTAGGACAGGTTTGACATTTTGGGGGTCGCAGGTGGGGGTTAACCATTGTTTAGGACAGGTTTGACATTTTGGGGGTCGCAGGTGGGGGTTAACCATTGTTTAGGACAGGTTTGACATTTTGGGGGTCGCAGGTGGGGGTTAACCATTGTTTAGGACAGGTTTGACATTTTGGGGGTCGCAGGTGGGGGTTAACCATTGTTTAGGACAGGTTTGACATTTTGGGGGTCGCAGGTGGGGGTTAACCATTGTTTAGGACAGGTTTGACATTTTGGGGGTTGCAGGTGGGGGTTAACCATTGTTTAGGACAGATTTGACATTTTGGGGGTCGCAGGTGGGGGTTAACCATTGTTTAGGACAGGTTTGACATTTTGGGGGTCGCAGATGGGGGTTAACCATTGTTTAGGACAGATTTGACATTTTGGGGGTCGCAGGTGGGGGTTAACCATTGTTTAGGACAGATTTGACATTTTGGGGGTCACAGGTGGGGGTTAACCATTGTTTAGGACAGATTTGACATTTTGGGGGTCGCAGGTGGGGGTTAACCATTGTTTAGGACAGGTTTGACATTTTGGGGGTCGCAGGTGGGGGTTAACCATTGTTTAGGACAGGTTTGACATTTTGGGGGTCGCAGGTGGGGGTTAACCATTGTTTAGGACAGATTTGACATTTTGGGGGTCGCAGGTGGTGGTTAGCCATTGTTTAGGACAGGTTTGACATTTTGGGGGTCGCAGGTGGGGGTTAACCATTGTTTAGGACAGGTTTGACATTTTGGGGGTCGCAGGTGGGGGTTAACCATTGTTTAGGACAGATTTGACATTTTGGGGGTCGCAGGTGGGGGTTAACAATTGTTTAGGACAGATTTGACATTTTGGGGGTCGCAGGTGGGGGTTAACAATTGTTTAGGACAGATTTGACATTTTGGGGGTCGCAGGTGGGGGTTAACCATTGTTTAGGACAGGTTTGACATTTTGGGGGTCGCAGGTGGGGGTTAACCATTGTTTAGGACAGGTTTGACATTTTGGGGGTCGCAGGTGGGGGTTAACCATTGTTTAGGACAGGTTTGACATTTTGGGGGTCGCAGGTGGGGGTTAACCATTGTTTAGGACAGATTTGACATTTTGGGGGTCGCAGGTGGGGGTTAACCATTGTTTAGGACAGGTTTGACATTTTGGGGGTCGCAGGTGGGGGTTAACCATTGTTTAGGAAAGATTTGACATTTTGGGGGTCGCAGGTGGGGGTTAACCATTGTTTAGGACAGGTTTGACATTTTGGGGGTCGCAGGTGGGGGTTAACCATTGTTTAGGACAGATTTGACATTTTGGGGGTCACAGGTGGGGGTTAACCATTGTTTAGGACAGGATTGACATTTTGGGGGTCGCAGGTGGGGGTTAACCATTGTTTAGGACAGGTTTGACATTTTGGGGGTCGCAGGTGGGGGTTAGCCATTGTTTAGGACAGGTTTGACATTTTGGGGGTCGCAGGTGGGGGTTAGCCATTGTTTAGGACAGGTTTGACATTTTGGGGGTCGCAGGTGGGGGTTAGCCATTGTTTAGGACAGGTTTGACATTTTGGGGGTCGCAGGTGGGGGTTAGCCATTGTTTAGGACAGGTTTGACATTTTGGGGGTCGCAGGTGGGGGTTAACCATTGTTTAGGACAGGTTTGACATTTTGGGGGTCGCAGGTGGGGGTTAGCCATTGTTTAGGACAGGTTTGACATTTTGGGGGTCGCAGGTGGGGGTTAGCCATTGTTTAGGACAGGTTTGACATTTTGGGGGTCGCAGGTGGGGGTTAACCATTGTTTAGGACAGGTTTGACATTTTGGGGGTCGCAGGTGGGGGTTAACCATTGTTTAGGACAAGTTTGACATTTTTTGTGGGGAGGGTTTGTTGGTTCAGGTTGGGGTTTAAGTGGAAGTCTTTCCCTTTTTACAGTTCAGACTGTTCCTTGGAATAGTAAATGATCTCGTGTTACATTTATGTTGTTCCTCCAACCCCTTTACCATATTTGGTATACACAAAATACTGTAGCGTAGGTTTATAACACTGATCACTGATTGTTTAAGATTTTATTTGTGTATAAATAGAACAACAAGTTAAAACATAGATGTGATATTAGCGATAAAGTTGCCTGGTGACGTAGTTAATGACGTTTGATTGACCATACCAATTATTGTTTTATTTACAATCTGTGACGATTCTACTTCCGGTATGACAGCCCAATCAGGATACACGTCCAACCGGAAATAGGCCATACCCCAAGTGTTAATGGCGACAGTAACAATGGCCACACACAAAATGTTAAGGATCCAACCGGCTTTTACCTACAAAGGACAAGTACGGGTTTAATTAGTGCGATCAATTCACGTAGGCCTATCTATAATGAAATCTGTAGTTATTAGTAGATATACTGACATCCATACAAGGTAGTAATCACCAACATTTTCAAAGCCCAAGTAACTGAGCGGTCCATAACATCAGGAATTCGATATTTTGATATTTGATTCTGGAAAGTAATTATGTAAAGCATCAAACACAAAGCATACTTTACATGTGTCATACATGGTATTTATTTGTCCTGAAAATTATATTTGTTCAACATCTAGGCACGTCGACAAGTTTAATACATTATGCCAATGTCAATTTGATGAATTTGGTTGTACATAATGTAGTTCCCAAGATGAATGGAAGTTCAACTTAATTCTTAAAAGGAAATATATTTCAATTTCTGTTGTTCCAAGTCTGCATAAATAGTAGCATGCATCATGATTCGTCTGTGAACATGAGCCAGCTCTAAAGCATATTTTACATACCATGTCGATAATTTTTAGATATCCGTATGAGAAGGCGATGGTGTTAGGTGGTGTGGCTACGGGTAACATGAATGCAAACGAACTGGAAACCGCTGCCGGAAGCATAATATAGATGGGATGTACATGGATCCCCTTGGCCTGAAAAATAAAATAAAAAAGGTATCACTTGATCGTCTTGTCTTGATTATCAATGAAAGAACGTGTGCGGAATTTTGAATTTTGTTAATATAAAAATATTTGATTTTATTGGTTTTTTATGAATTGTTGTTGCATGAGAAGAACGAAAGATAATTAATCTGTCTATCTATTTGCAAACGAAGTGCACGCGAAGAAAAGAACGCAATAGTTTTGTCATATAACACATCGTGTTGATAGAGCCAAAAACAATAATATATTTTTTATCGTTGTGTTATACTGTCAGACTTATCTCAACCCTAATGTGATATATTAATTTAAGTACGAAAAGATGTTGAGGTCACCCCCAGGCAGGCAGTATTCTATCATTCAAGGGGCATCGTAAGATTTTCTTTCTCTGGTCTATATGACCTAGAGATCTACTCATCCTGTTTCCCTTCATGTTGAAGAATTGGCGATATCTAGCCGTGTTATGGGACATGATGACTCAGATACCGCTATCAATATGATTTTGTTTCATGACGATGAATATAAGGATTATTCGAAGTCACGCGCAAGAAATAGTGAGTGTATGCGGTGAAATTTCAATATGACACTTTACTCACCAAATCCGCCAGGATAGGCATAAAGATCGTACACACGGCGGTATTGGTTGTAACTTCCGTGCACAGTGAGATGATAAGACAAATGCTTGCAACCATTGCCCAAACTGGGATGGCAGTCATTACCGCCATCTGTTGGGCTAGCCACAGCGACAGACCAGATTCCTGTGAAGTCATAACTCAAGAATATATACTCATAGATATCTAGTTGTTTTTGCCAATTAAAATATACATGTATATTGCGAATGCGTTTTCATAAACTAAGCTCTATTATTTGATTGTATCTACATGGATGATATTCACGCAAGGCATATTATTCATGTTCATGTCAGACCTCAGTATATATTGAAAAGTACTTTTTAAGATTTCTCGTTTAGACTCCACTTGATCTTATGTTGTGCACTTGATAAGTCATTGTAGAGTTTTAACAGTCACAAAACAGCAGCATGATTCCTTAGAGTGAGCTAGGATCACATTTTATTCCTTAACATATCATATGTTTTTGTGTGGTGACAAACTCCAAAAGCTTACGCCATTGTGCAAATCATCAAGATCTTATTGCGCTAACTCTGGCACTGAATCGAGTATGTATGTTAGCACATTCAGCGTAATTCATTTCCTAACTAAACAGCAAAATTCGGTCTCTACCTTACATGCGTGAGCAAGAGCAAATCCCCCACCAAGAAGTAGGGCAACGCCCCAAGGTAACTTCCGGTTTAATGTTTTCCAATCGAGCAGAGTCCGACATGTTTCGTCTGTGGCTGAAATAAATATCGAAAGATTTACGTCATGTTTGCATAATGAAAAAAAATTATCGAAAACAATTTTAAACGGGCCACTGTAAATTTCATTTTGGAATAAGGTGTACCTTTCCGTTCTTCCCTGGAGCTCGGAAACACGAAAAGAAGACAACCAATTAACATGGCAGGGACAGCGTCACTGAGGTATCTGTTAAATAAAAAACAATGGAAAAAAGGATGCATCCTTCTGAATCATGAAAACAGCCAAAATACAAAACAGATGTCAATATTGCAATATATAATTGTATTATATATCATTATTGACGAACGACAGGAACTCTTGTTGTATTGACGTTTTTTCCAGAGACAGAGTAAAATCATTCAAAGTAATAGTTACCCGGGTTTGAACAGCGATCCCCATCCTGGCACAAATTCTGGGTTTAGTGTAAACCAGCAGAGTACTAGGATTACAAAGTGGACTATGACAGCTTTTTCAGCAAAACTGAATTTAAAACAAATCGTAAATGAAAAAATGTAAAATCTTGATGTGAAACACAGAATCTTGTTCATGTTCTGTCGAGATCTATCTACCAAATACTGACTCAAAATTTAGACATGATGGTTAACTTAGAACGCTTAGAGTAGCTTTTGGACAGGTTATTGTATTAAGGAATTTCAGGATTCATTATAAAAACAAAACCTACAAAGAGTACGAGAGATTAACTTATACCGCTGTCCAAAAAGTATGGAAAGTAGCGACTATGACAAAGATAATGATGCAAATATATTGAAACCCGTCAAAAATGTATAGTTGTTGACATTAAACAAATTACAAGCTCTGAGGACTGACGAAGGATGCCCGTGTTATTCATCATAATTGAAGATACCTAGCCAGTATAAGGTTACAGTGACATATATTTTATCTTTCATTAATAGCCGCTGTGTATGGGCGAAGGAAATATCATTGGAGGAGTGTAGAAGATGGTGACCGCACACTTAGGAATTTGCAGCAAACGTAAAATCATATGCCTAGTCAGTCCTTTCAGGAGAGTAACAAGAAGGCAAACTCTCAGCGATAAAATAAACATTCATATAAACATTCGAATATATGTAGAGTATATATCCTCCTGAATCGTATGGATGTTGTCTGTATTATTTTCTATATTATTACCTCATTTTTCCTAATGATTCATACTGGATGCGTATTATCTTCTTCACCGTCTCGCCTTCTGCGGCATCACCAGATTTAAACAGGTTTCTTAAAAAAAAGTGCCGATGATATAGATGGGTGAATAGGTTCGTAAGAATAATTGGATGTCTTATTTAAAAAGAGCATGGAAATGCTTCACTTCAAAAAAACTATAGAGCAATATACACTTATAGTTACCTCGAGTTCTTCAGAGAGAGTTTGATGAATTTGATACGGCCATTTATCTAGAAATTTACAATGAAGTTGATGTTTGATCTATGAAATCCCTCAAGAGGGCTGTCGCATCAATGACACATACCCAATGCCGAAGAAGACGACCTGTAGACACAGCCAGGTAATCAGCACGTTTATAAGGGCAACGGGAAAGGCGAAAATAAACCAAGACGTGAACGTTACTCCCGATTTCCCGTCCGACATTCTAGAGCAAAATGAAATAAAGCTGATAAAGCAATCAAGTACAGCATGTCTCTATATCTGCGCCATACATGTATGTCTGTAACACAAGAACACATTTCACTGTCGTTTCCTAACAAAAAAAACGGATAATGACATATAACAGTAGTAATTTTATATCAAGTTCGAACAAGTCTATTGAGATTTTCAATATCGCGAGCGAGAAAAGGAAAAATGCAGCAAAAGTATAGAGACACGTTTGCTTGTACTCACAAGTCTGCCTGTCCTTTCATAACCATGTTAGGGCCCGTCCCTGTTAGAGTACCAACACCCCCACAGTTTGCTGCGTAACATATCGACATGAGCATTGCCTTGCAGAGATTCTGAGAATCGGGATCTAGACTTTCAAAGTCAAAATCGTCCTCTTCATTCCTTTTCTTATTCTTAGGAACAAGATTATCTCTGAAACGGTATTAAGGTGTAAGATATAGAAAATAGAATTTTGACAGTGAAAACAAGTAGCAGCTTGCCAACTGAAACATCGGAAGACGAAATTACAAATCAGATTTGAGAACATCCAAGAATATTTGAACTAGTGATGAAACGAAATATTATATACTCAACAACATTAATACTTCGAAAAATGATATTGTCCGTCCATTTATATGTTTAACTTCTTAACTTCATGCTGATTATATATGCTACAAAACGACACTTAAATGGAATATGCTCACAGGTTTTACAATGCCGCTGGCCAATATTTTAATGTGGAAATACGAAAAATGCAATGCAACCAAAAATGCATGAGAAAGTTCTGAACCTGGAAGAAATTATTCCCAAAATCATGATTTTAATGGTAAATGTCTATAAGTGACGGATAAATTCACAAAAAGTGGGGGAAGGGTGTTACAAGGTAATGCAATGTAAAAACGATTATTGGAAATTTTTTATTGCCGCCTTTATGATCTCCCTTTAATGACCCTGGATATTGCGAGGACGCGAGTGGAATATGCTCGATAATCACTAGTATACTTGATAGGGTCTCTTATATGCTAGCTGGTTCAAATTTTGGAACGTCATATTACTAATAGTGACCACAATTTATATAGCGAGTGTAAACTGTAAACGCATTTAATCCGTAGCATTATCATTTTTTCATCAACAATAGTGACGGATTTGATCTTTTACAATCATTGCTGTATAAACAACTAGTAGAAACTGCATTTATGATAATACAGCAACTATTTTCGGGCAATACTGCCTGCATGCAAAATGCTTAATAAGGTTACATCTCAAACATGAAAAATTCCAGTGCTTGAAACACAATCTAATTCCCCTGTATGTTTTGCGATAGGAAGTTGATCGTGTTTTGTGCTCATTGATATGCCTGATGGTGTTTTAAATTGTTCTTATTTGGGAACGTGTCATTCCTTATTTGAAATGACCAAGATTTACATGGCAGATGTCATCGATAAAAAAACCTCTCACCCTTCTAGGTCTTATTCTCATTGTTCAGGAGTTTCCGTGTTAATCCTCCTCATTTTCCACAAGCTATATCGAATATGAGTTTAAATTAAGATTTTGTTGTGTATATTATCTTTGGACTTACAGAATCGCCTCCAGTTCAGTATTTATCAAAGTGGGAAGTTTGCATTAATACAGGATGTAATTCAATCTGATTTCCTCAAATGTGCTAATTACTTTGTCACGTGCATTTACTGTGTAAGCAAGTCAACGTTAACAAAATTTAGGTTTGTACTAAAATATACATGAAAATATCAACAACCAGAGTTGCATTAATTTAATTAAAAGTTAGTCTTTAATATCGTCTATTATTTCCTTCAAATTTCAGCGAGACCGATTTGAAGGACGTCGGACTGGCAAAGGCGAAAAATAATAACAAATTACCATAATTTACGTTAAAAGAAATGGTAACTGAAGATTGAGAATGTAAATTAATTCATTATTAGATATATATTGTGCTATAAATTCTCGATTTTGGTAAATTGTTGTTTTAATTAGTGTGAACATCATTATATACCAACCTCTCCATTTTGTTTGCATCTGGGTAAAGTTGTATGTTGACCATCTCGGCACTCTCAGCTGCTTCCACGCCGTCTGGTAAATTCAAATTCACTTTTGTTTCGCTGTTAACTGGTAAGTCCTCAATGGTATGTTCATTGTTCTCCTTGTTATCTGCATCGCAAATACGTTATAATAGAAGTTATACAATGACAACTATATAAAATCTTGAAGATTGTAGACGCTAGTGGTGGCAATTTAGCTTCCAAAGTTTGCCGTAACCTGCATGCCACGTTTTAATGCGTCTGAAGAGCGGCACGGTTCAGAATATACATATGTAATTAGCGTTCAACTGAAGTTTGTTTCAAGAAATACATGTATATAAACGGCATAATATTATTTACGCTTCACCAGAATATGTTTATTATCTTCGCGATGCAAATATATTCCAGTCCTCTAATTAATCAGGAAAACATTGTGGACATTGCGTTAACCTTTTTAGAGCTGTGGGATATACTGTGCAAGTACAATGTCTTGCGATAATCGAGATTTCAATGTTTGCATTAAGAAATCGCAGCAAATAAAGTGGAAAAAAAGCTAAGTTTAAAAATGATAATTTGAAAATATAAAAAAGAAAAAATATCTAATATCCATACATTATTACTCACCATTTTCACGATCACTTTGCGTTTGACGATTTGACATCCGCATGACCATTAACTCGGAAAGAACAGCATGGGCTATTGGAATCATCATGGAGGTGGTGGCAGTATTACTGATCCACATGGACAAGAAGGACGTGGTCAACATGAAGCCAAGCATAAGCCTATTGTCAAACAAATGCACAAAAGACGTACAGATGATAACACTTTTTAGTACAGATAATGTGCACGAATAAAACTTTAAATATCATAAAACTGTTCAGGTCTTCTAGAACTCATTAGGGCCTAACCGTCACTAGATACTAACAGCGAAACAATTATGATTTACAAATCGTAATATTTAGAGGACTAACAGGTTTTTTTTTCAGCAATGATAGATTTATATCAAGAGTATGACTTTGGGTATAGATACTAAAACTATTAGCCAAATGAGAGCGCAAGAGTGAAGCTATTATAATGTTTGCCTCACATAATTACAGTAAAACATAAAGATTGCACTTTGTAGACTGTATATAGTTTTCACCTAATACCTAATGTGGGGTGGGGTATGAGGGGATGATAAATGGGAAGTTTTCGTATTTTCTAACCATTTACAACTTATATTCACAGTTACAATTGATCATTTATCTTATATGTGCAGAACAATCTACAATCCCTTCAGTTTTGCCGTGGAGATTTGAGGGTGGGGTTGGGAGGAAGGAGGGGGGAGTAACTATAAAAACCAAAAAAAGAACTAAAGCAGTAAAGGAGTGGGAGGATGGGGGGGGCAACTATAAAAGACCAAAAAAAGCCCTAAAATCTAAAGCGGTAAATTACTCACCATTTTGGTGTGGTGCCCATTATCAGTAGCAACCGTAATGCTATACGTTTGTGGACGTTCCATTTCTCGACCGCTATAGCAACAGATAACCCACCAACTAAGACGAATGAAATTGGCTGGAAAACAAAATATCACCCAGAATTGTACTGATACGATAACATAAATTATAACTTTATGAAGTAAAATAAAAAATCTAATATTAAATGTGTGACGTCAGCATCTGTACGGATATCAAATATTTACACGTAAATAACTATCCGTTATAAGAAATATATAAATTTATCATTTATTAAACCAATTGGACGTTCATCGTCACCAGAGACAAGGTTGAAGGCAACTCTTAAGGGCATGATATTTGAGTTTAAACATGCATGTTATGTTCAATGCGACAAATGCAGAAGAGCAATCACATTGATATTTTAAAATGTTCATATGCAAAGTGTCGTCATTTATTTGTTATGGTTTTTGTTTTTACTAAAAATTTATGAATGGATTTCAACATTGAATCGTCTCAAACTCGAATAACGAATTTTATTATATGTATGTCTTAATAAACCTTGCCAACACGTTACAAAATCAAATGTCAATATAAATACCGTACATGGAAATATTTGGCCGACAAGACTCCCACTTTACTAACACCCATCATCGGGAATAAAACAATCGGAAGTGAGGCTGTAATAGGGACCGGAAACGTTTCTGTGGTCCAGTAGAACGCCATCAGAAGTAGACCGTATGCACATTTTAATTCCTGTGTCAACATAACGTGTAAAAGTAATATTAAGAAGTAATAAGCACAAAAGATGATTTGATGTAAATCAGTAGACAAGCAAATCATGCTGTATATCTTTACTGTATTATACTACATTTGTAGTAGTTAACTTATGATGAACAAATTGTGTCTGGTACCTGTGAACATCATTCTGACACAGTTTTACAACTTATATCAAATCCTTTTTAATTAGCATTATACACAATATATTTACAGTTGCAAGATATCAGCGAGAATTACTTTATCAGTTTAAAACCTTGTATAGGGCGAATATTTGTGAACATATTATTTACATTAATTTTTTTTTATCTGTCATGGCCTCCACTATGTGGAATCTCTCTATATTTATCCCTGTAAACCTACTAAAACGGAAATTCTCGCGACCAATAGATTTACAACCGCAAGCTTAGAAAGCCAATCAACCCCTGGGCTTGCCCGATAAAACTGCGGGTGTACCTGTGGAGGACATCGTGAAAAAGCGCTGAAAAGAGGTTTCCACCCAAAGATTGGATTATTCCACTGTACTCAAGATATTACACAAAATGAAAAAGCTGTACGTTGTCCAACTTCTGTTCATGTTTTTGGTAGAGCCCATCCGGTAGGCATTGCTACATGTTTTAGTTGTTATATTTCTACTTTTCACGGTGAAAGGTATGATCTACATGTTGCCAATTTGTGAAAAATGTTTGAGAAAGGCCTAACATATTCATGAACTATTGGCATGAATTTTTTATCATAACCATCAACGTGCTAGAGCGTGCTACGTGTACTCTCAGTATTATTCTGTTAGCGAAACATCTGGCTTAGAGATAACATAACGTGATATGGTATTGCTTTAAATGAAATATCGCAAAACTGAAATGTCCTTTCATGAATAATTAGTAAAGATTAAACAACGCCAATATTTAGGGCCAAGTAAAACTCCCACTCTACCAAGTCCTTCAGAGCACACTGTTGAATGTTGAAAGCCTTTGTTGAAGATACATATTGGTAATTTCCCCATGCATCCTTCTGACTATTCGTTTTTGGATTTAAATGGAATGTCTAATAATGTAGTGATAATTACCTACCTATGGGCATTTTTATTCCTGTAAATTATTTAAAACGTTGATTTGTTAAATAGAGTGGGTTATGACCAATCATTTTCTGTAACTTTAAGACTAATTTGTGGTTTATCAACGTTTCACCTGTCATTAATAATGATGAAATGTATAAGATCACCACAATCCTGCAACGAAGATTTACATCTATACCGCTAACGAAAATAAGAAATGGAGCGAAACAAAATGTCCACCACTTTATTTTTAGGGACTAACGTTATGACGTTAAGTGAGCAGATATATTATAAATTTCAAATTATACCAATGTGAGCAATATTTGATTAATGTTGTAGCAAAATCAATAAAATCAACATTGATCGGCATATCCTGTATTACAAATACAACGCATTTTGTCCTGAAATGCAATCCACTCACGGCACTGCCTTCACGTTCGTATCCTTAATTCAGTATTTAATTCGCAGATTACTGGTTTGAAATTTTTACGTCACCCTGACAACATACGATGAGATGGTAACACTTCGTATTGTTATGTAACAAAAGAAATATGTTTGCTGGACACAGCAGTACATCTTGCTGATTCATGCGTGAAATGTAAAGTACTTTGGTTTGTCTCAATGGAGGGTATCAAACCGCGCGCTTTTAAAACACCATCAGTGGTATAAACAAAACATAAAACATTTAAAAGTGAAACTTTCATTACACTGGTCTTGGAAAACAGTTTAAAAGTTTCTGTTCTAAAATATAGGACACAACTAAATATCACAAACAGTTCCATACACCTTTTATATAAGTTTTATATAGCTTTAAAATGCCTAATGTTTTGATCTTGTCGCGGTGTGAGATTTGTTTCACAACAGTGGTGGTATTAAAGGCAATGGAATATGGTATGGTTACGTTGTATAATGATTTACGTTAATTCCGAACATCTTCGATATAAACGATTTTAAAATAACCGTTTTATAAAGACATTGAAAGATCACGTGATATTTATTTTGTTGAAATTATATTAAAGAGAATAAGATATCTTGACTAAATTTAGTCAACTACAAACATCAATAAAATGAAATGTTCCAGTTTTAAACAATGATAGCAAACTGTCTTACTGCAAACCAATGTGGCTCACTAGACATCACCTTCCTTTATGATAAAAACAAATCACTTTGATGATGGCTTACCTGTGACTGTCCGGAGAGAGGTAGTGGTAAAAGAACGATAGGTGGAATAAAAGTCAGCAGGAGCGTTCGATTTTTCCGTAAGAAATTCCTAAATGTCATTTTGCAGATTGTCCCAGTCTACACTTATAGATATACAGGACAAAGACTCACATATATATATAATATATGTACTATAAATACAGGGTAACGGGGTAGAATAAGATGTGGTATGATATGACATGAACTCATCAATGATATGTGCATAATTAATATAAATATAGGTTAAATAGATACATTTCTGTAGTTAGGAACACCCTTGCGTTCAGCATGTTACACACACACACACACACACACACACACACACATATAGATATGTATAAGAACATTAGCTAAGATAAACGTATGAATTATGTATGATAAACCCTCAAAGTTGGTATACTTTTATTGAAGGCCAAAGAAGCATACTCTTAGCTAGGTTATACAGAAAACCATCTGAACATGACAGTTCATAATTATACCTGTATACCCTAATAATGATTTGTATAGTCACGAAGTAAAGTATCTAGCATACGATAATTCAACATATCGACAGTATATTTGATCACGCTGTTTTCTTCGCCTAAACCAAAGACTCGGAGTCACTTCATGTTAAAATCATCACTTTCAGGAAGACTGCGCATAAGACATATACGTGATAAACTATTGAAAGACAGATACAGTAGAGCCAAACAATAAAACATACAACATTTTACAGACATAGGCATGTGTGTACGTTTAACCCTGTCTGGGTGTCATGTCACCTAGTTAATGATTTTCCTCTTAATCCATTAAACATATTTAATTTATGTTACATCTGTCATGATATATCTCCACCACTTTCTTCTTAAACTTTATCAATAGGTATAATTTAACCATGCAAGGAAAAAGAATCAACTTAACAGACATAACCGGATTTCAAAATAGTTTCAAAAAATCTAGGATACTTTTCATGTAAGAGAAACTTATGTCACTATGCTATTAGTGTTTTATGTTGTGACTTCCGAATATAAGAGGAACTGTGGCACTTATTTGTCTATGCTTCGATTTTTAACGTGCATGCTCTTCTATCATAGGATCTCTTACCTAAGCCTATACTGTGAAACATCTATTGTTGAAATGAGTTTACAAGGATTGCACAATGCAATCTCGAAAGGAGTTGGTCATGTCATTATTCCATAAACACATATTCAAGAATACGCTTCAAAGGCTTGGAATATTGTAGAATCATACAGTTTCGTTGAGTTTAAATTTTGTGGTACTCGAGTACGTGGATTATCTTATAGGTTTTGCCAAGTTTACTATGATAGCGTATTTTTATCTTTTCAATAAGAATAATTACGAATTCAGCAAAAACGAAAAAATTGGTAATTTAATGGTTTATCTTTATTGACTTAACAACACCAATAACAATTAGCGTATAAGGTTATATTTGTATTTCGAAACATTTTTTCTGTTAAAATTCCTGTAACGTGTTGCTTTTATTTTTTTCTTTGTATCGGTTACGATGGGTTTGCTTCATGATATCATGATGGATGTTTGATTAATGACGTCACTAATTATTTTATTTAGCATTTGTGATAATCCCGAATCTTGTATGAATGTCCAATCAGAATACAAGTCCAACCGGAAGTAGGTCATGCCCCACGTGTTGATAGCGACTGTAACAACAACAACTACACATAAAAGGTTAAGGATCCAGTCAACCTTCACCTTCAAAATACATATAAATTCAAAACGATTCATCAGTTACTCTCCTTCACTCTTTGAAGTTGCAAATAACCACTAAAATTTAAGATGTCTTTAAGTATATTTTTAAAACAACAACTAACGTTTGAAATAGAAGGCACGAGGAACTCAAATCAACATTATTGGATTGTAGTGGAAGATGTCGGTATACATCTGTGATGTGTCTATCTGAATGTAAATTAGGTAATAAACATTCAATTAAGTAGTCGTCTGAATCGTTAATGTATATAACCAACAAAAAAAAGAAAGTCTGTATTAGCGAAAGAGCTGCACGAGGTTCTCTGCGACTAACTTGTATCTTCGCTTAAATTTCATAAACATTCAAACTGACAACTGTTCCTTAGATCCTTAGGACTTAGAAATCACCGAATCTTGCTATCTCTCAACTTTATCATTATGCATTGGCTGTCACAAGTACAGAGAGAAAGGGCTGTAGGCATGATCCAGGCTGGGGAGTCTCGCCGTCGAGTTGCACGGCATTTTGGTTGCAGTGTTAAGACAATTTGCCAGTTGGTAAGTTGTTTTAACCAAACTGGGTCAACATCCGATCGTCCCCGAAGCGTCCGACCCCGTAAAACGACTGCCAGGGATGACCGTCGTATACGGTTGATACACTTGCGCAATCGATTCGTAACCGCAGTAGAGACTACAAGGACATTGTTTGGCCGTCGTGTGTCTCCCCAAACAGTCCGCAACAGGTTGGAGGCCTACCAATTGAAAGCGCGGCGTCCCTACACTGGACCCAGTTTGTTGCGACGTCACCGTAATAATCGGCGTAACTGGAGCCGTGTTCACCGTCGTTGGGCCTTACGACAATGGAACAATGCTCTGTTTTCAGATGAGTCCAGGTTTTGTCTGCATCATGGTGACGGAAGGGGGGGGGAGGACTCGTACCAGGCTTGTTGTGTTAAATGGCAATTTAACCGGCATTCGATATCGGGACGAAATTTTAAGACCAGTGGTTCTGCCATTCTTAAGACGCCATGGCGTTGGCGCCATTTTTCAACAGGATAACGCACCAGCGCACACCAGTCGCGTCAGCAGAACTTCCTTGCAGCAGAATAACGTACAGGTGTTAGATTGGCCATTTAAATCACCTGATTTGTCACCGATTGAGCATGTCTGGGACGTTCTTGGGCGACGCGTGAGAGGACGTCAAAATCAGCCGTCAAACTTGCAGGAGCTGACCCAAGCCTTGATCGCTGTATGAAACAACATGTCTCCTCGAATTATCCGCCGGTTTACGAGTTCCATGCGACGAGGCTGCAATGCTGTTTAATTTGCAAACGGTGGCCATACCCGTTACTAATGGTGTTACCTTTGAAATTGACCCCAACGTCCTTTACAGTCGAATAAAATCAACTAAACGCAAAGTTTTATAATGAACCATGACTGCAGTTTTATCAGAATTGATCAATTACTTTATTCGTACATGATTGGTAAGGATTTATGAAGGGGTTAATTAATTAATCACAGAATAAAGTAGTGTTACCTTTCATTTTTTTTTTTTTTTTAGAACATATATAATCAGCACCCTGCGTTTGAATAGATAATGGAAGAAACATATCTCTTTGGCTTGATTTATGTTCTATAGGTTTCCGTTTACCGATATGATTTCCCGTGTAACGCCAAATTAAATTAAATATTTAATGCACGTCCCATCTTTACGCGTAATAACGATAAGAAATAAAATAATTACCCTTTTCTATGCAGGCGAAAACAACGAAAATATATATATGAAATACACCTTATTGATACATTCAACTGAACTGAAAATGGCAACAGGCAACATAATGAAGATAGGATGAAAATGGTCACCTTTAGCCTGTATAAGTATAATGAATGTAACTTTAATACTGTAAGTTAAACGTAGGATAATTATCTCTTGTTGAAGAATATTTGATATTGTCAGCAAATTATTCCACAGTATTTGAAATATCAAAATATTAATATATTCCCCTTTTCTGATGTCTTTATTGCAGGCATATTGTAAATGATGTTTATATATAACGAGAAAAGCGAATACTACCATGTTTATTCAAACACATTTACATATGCTTTACTAAAATAAAAGACACTCGCTCCAAAATATCAATTAGTGAAATGTAAATGAGGACGCATTTTATTGTGTGTTTAGAATTATTAGTCTTAATTAAGAAAATAATTATTCACGACGTCAAACGATGAAATAGCTTGATACTGGCTAAGATAAGTATTTGATAATCAAAACAAAAGAGAGAGAATATTAACATATGAAACGAACTCGTAACTCAAACTCTTCAGACATGGTATATTTTACACTGTAAATATGCATTGGAATATGGTGTTTGTGTCATTTGTGAATTCTTATTGGTCCAGGTGGTAAGCACTATTGATAGACTTTAGTTCTAGAGTTTCACGTAAACCACTTTTTCACTTAAACGATTAGTAGTACTTCATGTTTATTTTGAAAAATCTATATCGAAATTTATGATTTATATATAATATAATTTTATTTATCTTATTTAATTTATTTATTATTACCATTATTACATTTTTATCTGGAGGGGAGGTTTTTTTTATTCATGTTGTTTGAAGACGACCTGCAGACTACCAGGCTACCAGGACGTTAATAAATGTAACAGGAAGACGGAAACAAACCAAGTTACGAAGATTATTACCTATTCCCCGTCTGACAAGCTAAAATGTACAGAATATTCGCCTCCCATGTTTCTGCTTCTGTTGTAATAACAATTATGATTTTGTGTGAATCTGCTAAATCTTTGAGGTACCGAATCGAAAAACAAATTTTACTACACAAAGTTCTTTTTCATATCAATCGGTCATAACATTATGTCGATTTAATTTTAATTGGAAGGGCAAAACAGATTTTTAAAAAGACATAATATTTATGTATTTTATCACCGAATATGTTACAAATATTTCAAAATCAAAGTGAGCCTAACTTAAATTTTACTTTCTCACTTACGAATTGATCATGTGACATCCGCATAACCATTAAGTCGGAAAGAACAGCCTGGGCTATTGGAATCATTATGGAGGTGGTGGCAGTATTACTGATCCACATGGACAGGAAGGACGTGATCAACATGAAGCCGAGCATACGCCTAATAGATTTATCAAAATATAAATGTATAAAGTTACCATCTCATCAGAAACCCAACAAACATGTAAAAAGGAAATATTGTCAATCAAAAAAGTTACACATTTCCTGCTAAAATATTTCTCAAACATCTGTTATCTACAAAATTGCAGTTTCTGAAGCAAGGGTGCCAACGAAACACATCCTGATTTTTCGTCCTTAATAAGTGTTTGTATGTTTACTGCTACCAAAA